TAATTAATGAGGTCAGCAAGTCATGAATTGTAGGGATTGTTTCTTGACTTCACCCGTTATGGGGTTAAATATTCATTCTTATATAAGTAAACGCCATTTTAAAGGACTGTCCAGTTTATAAGATAGAAACGAAATGGACTTATCTGTCTGTCTATCCTGAATGTGAGGATGTACATTAAATGTTCTTCAGTTTCTACACTGGAGACAGGCCACAGTAGAGAGTTACTAAACGTTTCTACACTGGAGACAGTGGCCTGTCTCGGGTGTAGAAACATTTAGTAACTCTCTACTGCTGCCTGTCTCGAGTGTAGGAACATTTAGTAACTCTTTACTGAGGCCTGTCTCCAGTGTAGAAACATTTAGTAACTCTCTACTGTGGCCTGTCTCCAGTGTAGAAACATTTAGTAACTCTTTACTGTGGCCTGTCTCCAGTGTAGAAACATTTAGTAACTCTTTACTGTGGCCTGTCTCGGGTGTAGAAACATTTAGTAACTCTCTACTGTGGCCTGTCTCCAGTGTAGAAACATTTAGTAACTCTTTACTGTGGCCAGTAGAGAGTTACTAAATGTTTCTACACCCGAGACAGGCCACAGTAGAGAGTTACTAAATGTTTCTACACTGGAGACAGGCCTCAGTAAAGAGTTACTAAATGTTTCTACACTGGCGACAGGCCACAGTAAAGAGTTACTAAATGTTTCTACCCTCGAGACAAGCCACAGTAAAGAGTTACTAAATGTTTCTACACTCGAGAGAAGACAATATTATACAAAGTATTAGTAGTGTTAGATTGTAGCAAAACGCAATGCTGCACCATAATTACACCAAGGCCACGGTATGGATCAGCACGAGTGTGGGCGTGATTCTTAATTCTTCTTGGAGATTTGACCTGTAAAATAAGATATCGTGCCACGTGATTGGCAAGATAATCGTTGTTTTTCAGTTTATAAAGGTCAACCTTTGTTTGATCATACCTTGTCTAAGTTTGATCATTGTCCGGATGTAGCGAAGACCATTCTTGTGTTGTCAAGATAACCCCTAACTTACCCTGATGATAGTCAAGATAACCCTAACTTACTCTCATCATAGTCGAGATAACCCTAACTTATCCTCATTATAGTCAAGATAATCTTAACTTACCCTGATCATAGTCAAGATAGCCCTAACTTACCCTGATCATAGTCAAGATAACCCTAACTTACCCTGATCATAGTCAAGATAACCCTAACTTACTCTCATTATAGTCGAGATAACTCTAACTTACCCTCATTATAGTCAAGATAACCCTAACTTACTCTCATTATAGTCAAGATAACTCTAACTTACCCTCATTATAATCAAGATAACCTTAACTTACCCTGATCATAGTCAAGATAACCTTAACTTACCCTCATTTATATGTATAGTCAAGATAACCTTAACTTACCCTCATTTATATGTATAGTCAAAATAATCCTAACTTACCCTGATCATAGTCAAGATAACCTTAACTTACCCTGATCATAGTCAAGATAACCCTAATTTATCCTCATTATAGTCTAGATAACCATAACTTATCATCACTATAGTCAAGATAACCCTAACTTACTCTCATTATAGTCAAGATAACCATGACTCTATCTTACCCTGATCGTAATCAAGATGACTCTATCTTACCCTGATCGTAGTCAAGATGACTCTATTTTACCGTGATCGTAGTCAAGAAGACTATCTTACCCTGATCATATCGGAGGTCATCCAGGTTAAATTACACTTTCTACACAGTGAACCGCGTGTAATCCTACCTGGTGTAGTGTATATATATATCTAGTACTGGATATGAAAAAAAAACACGATTATTTGTAAAGAAGCTTTCTCTCCCGGGATTAATTGCTCCAGACAAGGTGATCTTGTACTCGGTGTCAAGGAAAGCCAGGTTGTATAAAACAGGTGTCCTCTCTGTCGAGACGCTGCCTGCTGCGAATAGTCAGTATGATAGAACCAGGATATAAGTAAATCACCTGCTACGTGTGCTTCGTAAGGGTAAAGGTTAGGTAGAAAAGTCACATGACTCCGATTAGAATAGGCAGTCAACATTAGCAGGTAAAGCTGTGTAAACTTTACAACAGTTTCAGGTAGAATCTTCAGTCAACTGTAGCAGGTAAAGCTGTGTAAACTGTACAGCAGTTTCAGGTAGAATCTACAGTCAACTGTAGCAGGTAAAGCTGTGTAAACTTTACAGCAGTTTCAGGTAGAATCTACAGTCAACTGTAGCAGGTAAAGCTGTGTAAACTGTACAGCAGTTTCAAGTATAATCTACAGTTAACTGTAGCAGGTAAAGCTGTGTAAACTGTACAGCAGTTTCAAGTATAATCTAGTTAACTGTAGCAGGTAAAGCTGTGTAAACTGTACAGCAGTTTCAGGTAGAATCTACAGTCAACTGTAGCAGGTAAAGCTGTGTAAACTTTACAACAGTTTCAGGTAGAATCTACAGTCAACTGTAGCAGATAAAGCTGTGTAAACTTTACAACAGTTTCAGGTATAATCTACAGTCAACTGTAGCAGGTAAAGCTGTATAAACTTTAAAACAGTTTCGGGTAGAATCTTCAGTCAACTGTAGCAGGTAAAGCTGTGTAAACTTTACAACAGTTTCAGGTACAGTCAACTGTAGCAGGTAAAGCTGTGTAAACTTTACAACAGTTTCAGGTACAGTCAACTGTAGCAGGTAAAGCTGTGTAAACTTAACAACAGTCTCACGTTTGAACAATTAGTCGTTATTTCACTGTCACGCATCTTTGTAATAATCACATGCTCGTGTTTGATAAAGTACTTGTTAGTCTCCCTTGTTAAATTATTTTATAACTGCCAGTTTCTGAAATGAACAAAAACTGTACTGAAGAGACAGCAAGTAAACACCTGTAGAGCACCCCTCCCACATAGATGAATCAATCATGTCCTTACCCCCCTGCTGTTCAGAACTGGTCCTTCCTTGAGAATCTGAACCACATCGTTCCCCGAGGGATGAAGCAGTCATTAGTTTATCTCATTCAAAGAGAACAGGCGTCTTGCTGGGTGTCATTTATCTGGGTTTGGAGTAGATTGTTTTTTAAGTAACTGCTGACACCAACTAATGTTATGACATCATTTTCTTGGTTGCTCCATCAGTGTTGACTAAATACAACCTTTGGTTAAGCTGATAAATAGACCTTAGTATTGACACCCAAGGTCCAAGACTAACAAAGCTTGACTTAACACAGTACGTGTTATTGACACCCAGGGCTACAAAACTCTAACTTAACACAGTCCAGTGTGTCAATAAGAAACTTGAGTACGTAACGTTAAAACGATTTTGGAGCCTCACCACATCGTTACAATCCATGTCGCCACGTCAAGCTATGCTGTTATGTCCAGTGCATACTACTCTTTATTGATGCTTTCCATAATCCATCTAATATCCGAGAACGAAGGTTTATAAACTCCCATATCAACAGTGAGATTGCCCAGGGCTCCATAGGTGACTTGACCAATATGTCTTCCTATGGAATAGCGTGAATACCCGTTTCGTTCTTTAGATGCTTGATATATGCGAAAGTTGAACAACATGTATCACAGGAAACCTTATTTTGATGAAACTACGCCATGTTGGCTTTGTTTCCAGAGGAAAATCCCAGAGGACAGGTGTGAAGCTTTTGCTTCTGACATTTTTATTCGTGAATCCTCACCTGTAACACCACACTTTGCTTAACACAGCTGAGGGAACAAATTGTTGAAAGTCTCTCTCTCTGGATGGTCCTGATTCCCCAAATTGTACGAATTCCTTTGCTTTCCAGTGTCATTAAGTACAAAGGATATATCGGTCCTAAAAATTCTAAATCTCCTATCTGAATACATCTTTATTATCTGAGGGTTTTGCAACTGAAACGGGCTGTTACATACTCATCCCAAACTGGCATCACACTACCTACAAAATGGCAGACAGTGTCAGAATGTAGTTCTGATACATGTATATTAGTTATAGTTGTCAGGTGACTTGCTGATTTTATTATTCAAAAATAGTTTCAATATAACGTACTTAACGCTCTATTTCGTGACTGAGAATTTAAGTTTATTTAAACAATGGCGTGTGAAGAACAGCAATCCACCAATTTATAGTCCAAGTCCATAACTTCTAAGGGTCACGCTCGTGAAGAGCACATTTGCTGCATTTGACTCGTTGACCATATTTAACTTTTTTTGTGGTTGACCTGCTGTAATATCTAGATATGTTTTAGTAAACCAATAAAAGTTATTTTTGTTAATGAATCCGAACTATTGAAGTAAAGGTATTGGTTGCTATGGTGTCTACCTGAACTCTCTATTCAACTCTCTCCTTCCCTTGACAACTGAAGATGAAGACGTTTGGAAGCGACGGCCCGAGGCTCGCCACTGTTTTGCTCTATAGGTGGCTAATAACAAAACTGTTCTATACAAAGATTTTGGTCTCTTCAGAAAGTTCAAGATCCATTTAATCTTCTCATCGAGTAAAGTGCTGTGAAGAATTGATTTACTAGTAGTCCATCTTAGAAATACAATGAAACTAGCGTAGTCGTGACGGGTAGTGATCTTATCAGCTATCATTAAACCTGTAAGAGCTTCACTTCCCACCCACCAGGCGTCGCGGTATGTAATTCATTGTGTTCCGTTCTTCTCATTCATCGTAATGACCTCATTTACGACCACTTATAACTTCAGTAAAATCATACATAGAAAGACAATAAATTAATCAGTTTGGTTGATCTGGAGTCGTGTTTTTGTAACATATTATCTACACAATTAACGATTCCATCATCAACAAAGCTCACCGGTTCTGCTTGTATCCTTTAGCAGCAAATTTCCAATTAGATATTTTTTGTTGATTTATTTCATTAACTTACCACCGAATACTAAACATGGCCATTGTAACTAGTGTTTATTACAGTACTGAAGAACAAATTGGTTATTTTGTTAGTCCTTTAAAAGATGTGAAACCGGTTAAAAATATCTAAAACATTGTTTGTATCAGTTTCTTTATCTTCATCTCTCTCTCTCTAGATAACATTACCTATGACGAACATTCGTGCGTTACCATGGATACCATCAACAGATCGGGATTGTTGTCATTACAGAGGATAAAAGAAGCTTCATTGTAAGTCACTCTTCGTTCGTTTTTGTTCAAATCTTGTTTTGGTGCTTTTTTTGTTCCCGTTTAAGTTATTCTGTAGCCTAAGAGTTGGCGGTGAGTGCTTTTGACTAGCTGCCTTTCTTCTAGTCTATTCATTCTAAATTGGGGACTGTTAGCACAGATAGCCCTTTGAATAGCTTTACGCGAATATCTGAAAACAAAACAAATAAAGAGGTTTTAATTCCGTTTATTCTGTCGGTTTTCTTTATGCTAGTTATTTCTGTTTATTTTGTCAGTTTTCTTTGAG